AAAAGGGACAACCCAAAAACAAAAACATCTGAAACTATATTAAAAAAAAATATCCAATATGAAATGGCAATTCACGTTTTAGAACCCATTCTCTTATGCGTCTTCGTTGTCGACCCACCACCACCACCTTTCCCCTTCTTGGATAATTAACAATGATCAAACGAAACACTAGCACACCACACAAAAACAAGCATATCGCACTCGCTTTTTTGACGACTCTTTTGAATTGCGACTTTCTTTAGCCAGCGACGTGAGGGAGCTGTTAGGGGTATTCTGATTATTCTTATTTTCTCCGATAGGCTCGGTTAATACTTTTTTGTTCACAATCTCCGTCAACCTCGCGCGGGCGAGCTCGGTAATAAGAAGTCGCCCGCCAAGCTCCTCGCTTTCGATCTCATTCCGACAGCAAAGGAGCTCCTCCAGAAATGAAAGCGCGCGGGCGAACTCAAAAGGTTTCATGATGCTCCGCCACGTGCCGGAGTCTTCCTCTTCCTCCTTTTTCTCCTTCTCCTCCTCCTCTTCCTCTTCGCAGTTGTCAAGGCTGGATTCGGACAGGTTCTCGGTGCAGGTCCGCAGCAGGCGGCGGGAGAGGGTGCTCCCCTCCGATCGCGCGCCGGCCGTCCAGCTGAAGGAAAGCTTGGAGGCGGTTTGCTGCGGGGAAGGGGCCCTTGTGGTCTGCTCCAAGGGTGACCAAGAGGACGCCATGGCCTCCGCGGTGATCTTGAGCTCGCGCAGCTCCCACTCCTTGACCGTCAGGTGGTCCTCGAGGACGCCGCGCTGGAGGCCGGTGTAGTAGTCCACGACGTGATCGCAGAGGGCCGCCCAGTCGTCCGGGTCCTCGTCCGCGGCGTGGCCGCCGAGGCTGACGGGGAGGCGGTCCGCGTTGACGAACTCGCGCAGGACGCCGCGGCGGAGGTCGGCGTCGCTGACGATCTCGACCCGCCCGACGACGGCGGCCGGGAAGGTGCGGAGGAGGGCCCGCGTGCAGGCCGCGAGGGCCCGCCCCATATTACAGACGTAGATGCGGTCGATCATGCCGGG